CCTCAGCCTGCCTCAGCGTCTGCCTCAGCCTCAGTCTGCCTTCAGCCTCGGCCTCAGCCTCAGCCTGCCTCAGCCTGCCTCAGCCTCAGCCTCTGCCTCTGCCTCAGCCTGCATCAGCCTCAGCCTCAGCCTGCCTCAGCCTCAGCGTCAGCCTCAGCCTCAGTGCTCCAGCCTCCGGGCATTCAAAATGTGGCCCGGGAATGGAGTTCTGGGAACTCGAAGACCACGAAGTGGCCTACAGTTGGCTCCGGGCATCCAACATGTACGCCGGGAATGGAGTTCTGGGAACTCGAAGACCACAAAGTGGCCTACAGTTGGCTCCGGGCATCCAAAATGTACGCCGGGAATTGAGTTCTAGCAGCGCCAAGAGCGATTTTGCGAGGATGTCCCAGGCGATCTGGGTTTCGGCGGCAGCCGCCCCGGGTCCCGCCCCGACCCCCCTGAGGAGTCATGATGCTCTCTTTTGACACCACTAGAAACCTATCAGTCTTCGCTGTTAGGTAAAAACATGCAAATGGGGAGTGTGGGTGTGGTGGAATTCCTGAGCTTTGTACTGGGTGCACGGTTTGTCTAACCACTGGGCTTGTTGGCCCATGAAATGATATCTGCAGCAAGTCTTGCACCTAAACCCCTCTTGGCAATCCTCCAATAATTGCCGTGTCTCCACTTACGGGTAGGCCTAGACTGCTTGGGTCGAGGAGGAGGGGGAACCTTGAAATCACCCCAGAACTTAACCTGGATGGTGGAGGGCCTTCTAGAAATGAGCTGCATCTCGGCATCTTCAGCGTCGGCGCGGTCAAGCACTATCTGGGGAAGCTGAACGTGGGAGGTGGCATCTCCGGCTTCGTCAGCTAACGAATTGGCCAAAAAGGCCCATGACTGTATACTGTATGTGTCCCAGTCGTCACACTTAAGATGGGACTTGGTTTTGTGAAAATCCACTGGCCCATCGTGGGCCTCGAAAGCAGCTCAAAACTCAAACCATACATCGGAGTTGGATCGCGGCTTCCATCTAGGCCCCCCTCAGAGCTCCCTGATGAACATCGCTAGAACCCAATGCCAAGGTAGTATCTCCCTGCACATGTAGAAGGGCCTGGGTGGCGGCGTAGAGCTCGCCGCGGTTGACGGTCTGTTTTCCTGGCAGGCTTCCTCGAAGGGTGCCTACAGGTACGTAATCTGCGTTCAAAGCAGCTGCCCCCCAACCCGCGCGCCGTTTCCGAGGGTCTCTGTGGTGTGGGCCCCCGCTAGCGTCGGACCCAGTGAGGCATTTTCCTTTCACCTGCATGTTCTGGCGGACAAACGCGCCTGCGGCGCGGTGGACCGAGGGGGGCGGGTTATCTTCCGCAAGTCCTATGGTGAACCCGGCTGGCTGGAGCGCGCGGCCCCACTTGACGGGGTGCGACGGGAACTGCTCCACTGCCCTTGAAACGGGATGATTCGAATCGACGATGGCGTCGTCGGTGCACTGCTCGAGAGCGGGGCGCGTCCAGAAACGGTGGAGATCATCCTCCTCTGGCGCCCCGCACCTTGGACACCTGGCTGGGGCGTCGGGATTGCACGAGTGTAGTCGGCCACATGTCCATGCTGAGCCTTTACCGATGACGTGGAGGGCCTTGGCGCAAGCTGGAGCCTCCTCCCGTCGTAACTTCTGACACATAACCTGATGACTGTGTACATCAACTCTTCCCTCAGCTCCTCCCCCAAGATAAAACTTCGATGCCCGAGACCAGAGGGCCCGAGAAAGGTGCTGGGAGAAAGCGTCCATGAACCCTTCCTGCCCCTTGAGGTCCCCTGGCGCAACTTTGAAACGCTTTTGATCGGGAAGGATCCATTCGCATGGGCCCACGGGATAAATATCAAGGTCCAGCAAGGTGGCGATGGTGGCTGAGAAGAGAGAAACTACTCTGCTCCATCGGCAGTATTGCCCGCGAGCCTCTCAACGGTGTGGACCCACCGCTTCCTGATGGCAGCGTGCAACGCTGAGACCTTTTTTGACCATATCGAACCAAGTTGACAACATCTGCATCGGCAAATAGTGAGCGGGATCCTCCTGCTCTTGTCCTCTTGGTGAGAGAGCGAAGCCTGTAGTGGTGCAACCGTGCTTAGGAACAGATCCGAGCCCACAAACAAGCCGTCCCCGAATGCGTTTCAACTGGGTTGGGCATATGCCTTGGGCCTGATGGCCCCAGACAGGTTGTGGTTTGGCCCGCGTCGATACCAGCCTCCGGGCATTCTTGATGTCCCTGGAGAGGTTCTGGATCGAGGTGGGCCTCTTGGGCACCTTGGTGAACCTGGCGTTCCTGGTAGCAAGCCTACGACGTCTCCCAAGAGTGGTATCCAGCCCAAGATCTCGCCCAACACCCACTTGTTTGAAAGCCCATCCACGAGTGCCCAAGGTAGAGCAAATGGACAGACCGACCGACTGGACCGAGCTGACGATGCACGACTTGGGTGAGAGACGACAACCTCTGGCTTGTGGGGCTTCTCCTCAGTAAATGATGGCCTCGGGGACGTCCACTTTCTCATGGGATCCCCAGGCCCGCAATCGCAGGTCGTCGACCCACGTCCTGAACTTCAACTGTCGAAAGCGCCCGTGCATCTCGTCGAGTATGTCGTAGAAGAAGGCGCGAGCAACCGAAGTAGTTTGAGAGCATCCTTGCCGCGTCCTCTCCGTCGGGCAAATGGCGCTGGAACGCCCGAGCGAGGGGGCGAGCGCGCGCGCGGCCATATGGACTATCATGCCAAGGACGAGCGGTGCTGTTGGGCCACCAAAATGCGACTGCCATGCTGCAAAAAGATTATGTGCAAACCGTACCGAAGAATTTCTCAATGTCCAACAGCGCCTCCGAAACTTGAGCTCCTAAACTTGTGGCTAGCTCGGCCGTGGCCTCGCCCGAAAGTGCGGCGCGCAAGCACGAGGCACCTCGGATGGCCTCATCCCAAAAGCCAGATTTTACTGAACCCCAGGCGGTGATGGATGGCCTTTCTACCTGGATCAATATACGATAGAAGCTGCAGGTGTGAGTGATGGGTCGGTCAGACTCCACAATATTTGGGCTGAGGAGGGCCAGGTCCATAAGCACCTGCGCTGGAAACTTAAAGGTGGTGCGGACCTGATTGAGCAGGTCGGTGAAGACCTCGCGGCCTTCTGGAGGAAGTGGGTCGAACTCCCTCGGGTTCCACGGGTCGGCGCCTCCTGCTGAGCTGGGGCTATACCTGCGTACGATCTGAAACGCCTCGTCGGGCTCCCATAGGGGCTCCTCCAGAGCTTGCCTCTGAGCTTTCACGATGAGGGAACGAGCCATTGAGCCTCCTGTGGCCTGCTTGGGGATGCGAGGGGCGCCCGCTACTTCTCCCGGTATGTGAGCGCAAGCTGCATGAAGGGGGTCGGGCCATCCGATATAACCGTGCTCGTGCAAGACGAGATAACTGTGGAATCTAGCTCTTCGGGCGGTGGGGGCTGGGCCTTGGTGATGGCGCGTGGGATTTCCCCCCTCTTCAGGCCCTCTTCGATCCATTCCTGAACAGATCTTGAGGCTTTCCGATTCTCCAACCTCTGGTACTTCTGATAAGTCTCATCCTGAGACTTCTGAAACCCGATCCCAATCGGAACCCCGAAGCTCCCAGGGAAAACCTCTATGTCCTGAATGTGGCCTGTGAAATACGCCCCAAGAGTGTCACTGGTGTCCTGGGTGACGTAATCAGGGTAGGAGACGGCCGGATATCTTCATAATTCAATGCTGGGTGGCTCCAACTTGTGATGGGGCTTGGGCGCGCCGCCGCAGCGCATCCCGACCTCGTGCGCGGGCGAGCAGAACATCCCACTTGCTGGCCATGCTGGTCTCCAACCCTTCTGGCGGCTGAGGCGGAAGGAGAGCTTGGCGTCCAAATATGACACATTGGCCCCTGCTTGGTCGGCAGGGTTCTCCAACTTTGTCATGGTAAACCTGGCGCTCCAGAGCCCGACAAAGCGTAGCATACTGAAGAGTAAGGTCGGAACTAGCATAGGCCTGGCAGTAGGGGTACGTCGGGACCAGATGGAACTCCGAAGCCTCGTCCTCGGCCCTCTCATAAGAATGCTCCCACGGCGTGGGGCCCCCCTGGTAGTTGGCAGGGATGGGGGCTCGCTCGACTACATGCCAAGATCTCCTTCTGGGCGGTATCTCGAGTAGCATCTCCTGCAACTCCTAAGTGCGGCATCCAAGGCCCCTCCACGGCGGCTTCCAGCTTGGTCGGGGAGCCCAGCCTCTGATCTACAACGCGAATCTAGCATGCGGTATCAGTTCGAGCAGGTCCAGGACGTGTTCGGCGGCGTAATAAGCTCCCCGTTTACCCAAGACAACCATTTCATGGGATGGTTCAGCTCGGCAGGGGGAACGTTCAAATCACATTCAATGATGTAGGGCAGCGTACAAGTCTTAATGTGTGAAACGATTTCTCTGATGATGTCCTGGTTGGCCTGATTCATGCCCACTCCAGAAATCAGATAGACGCCAATCATGTGGAAGCTGATCTTATCTCGGTTCATGACTACGCTTGCCCAGCGAGTCCCCGAAACGAGAGGTTTGGTGTGGCCCTGGGCCCTCATGACACGACCGCGATAGGAAAGGTGGGACCTGACGGCTAACAAAACTCCCGCCTCACCCCCCTTCTGCTGTGCTGACTGCTGGACAGACGAATGTCTTCCAACCTTTCTTCTTGAACTGCTTCCGAACGAGTCCGTGCTTGCTCAGAGTGAGATGCGTCTCCGTCAAAATGCAAACATCCGCCGATAAGCGCGAATCTAGGATATAATTCTTTGCTCGAACATTCCGCAGAGTAATGTTGGCAAAATAAAAAGTGAGGTTCCCAGTAATTCCCATTCCAGAACCTTTGGCCTGGGCGAAGGTGGGGTACCCGAACATCGTGGCGAGGCTCGGGTCATACTTCACGGTGGTCGGCGATTGGCTAGTCACGAAAAGCCTCATCATCACCAGCATCATCAGCACGGTTCCGACCACCTGCATCACTGCTGGCCGCCGCCGCCGCCGCTGGGCTGCGGCTGCGGTCCCCTGGGTGCGGCTCCTCCTCGGCTGCGGCTGCGGCGGCTGCGCTGGCGGCGCCGCGGCGCGGGCTGGCGGCCCGCGGGGGTGGCCGCAGCAGCGGCCCCGCAGGCGCCGCCTTGTCAGGCGCTGGCGGCGGCGCCGCCTTGCCGCCACCCCTAGCCGCAGCAGGCGCTCCCGCAGGCCCCTTGGCTGAGGGCGGGGCGCCGCCGCTGGCGGCGGCGGCGGCCTTGGCTGCCCCCTGAGGGCCGACAGGGGCAACCGCAGCCTTGGGCACCTGCTGGCCGTACTTGGCGGCGATCCGGGGGTGTTGCTCCATGAAGGCCTGCAGGGCCTGCTGGTTGGGGCGAGAGGGTGTCATCCTCGATGACCACCACCTTCGTGCCGTCTGGGTTGACAAGCTCCGCCCGCTGCTGCGACTTCTTGACCGCCTCCTGCTTGGCGGCTTCCTCCTGAGAGGTGGCCACGTCCAGGGTCGCCTCGGCCTGGGCGAGCTGCTCCTTGAGCTGACCCACCTTGGCCTGGCACTCCTTCTTGTATGTCGTGGCGCGCTGCATAGCTCTCTTGGCCAATCCGACATATTGTGCAAGGGCAGGGACGGCGTCGGGCTCCTCATGTGCCTCGGGCTGCATGTCCGCGGCAAGGTACCGCGTCTTGAACCGCGCGAGCTGCGGTGGTCCGAACAGTCCTTGGAGGCCCCCCCCCAGGGTCTTCTGCAACTGGGGATCATTGGGTGCCGATTCACCACGGTCGACACCTCCGTCTGGCCCGTCTCCCTGCAATAACTGGCTGCCGCACCTGCACAGCGGGTCCTTCCTCACGCGCGACAGCCACTTCCACTTGCTACAAACATCGCGCACCACATACTGCTTGTTGGCTGCATCACGTCCTCCATCTCCATCCTTCCCGTTCCTCGTCCAGCCGTTCCAGTTCTTGCCCGACGATCCATCGCGGCGGCGCCAAGCCATTCGCGCCGACTGAGCCGAGAGGGCTGGGGTCGACTGGCAGGCGAATGCCAGGCAAGCTGGAATGGCCGTCCCTGCTGGCCGCGCTTGAGCGAGGTTGGGAATTTCAGGAGCAGGCCCCTTGAGCCAAAATGGCTACGGCTCTCTCTCTCTCTCTTCTTCCTCGTCCTCCTCCTCCTCCTCCTCCTCCTCCTCCTCCTCTTCCTCCTCCTCCCACCCTTCCCGCCTATCACTACGTGATCAAGCAGAGACTCCAGAGACCCCTCCCTCCCCGTCCTCGCCAAGCGTCTCCAACTCCTTGTCACAAGGTTGGGCGCCTCCTCCTTCTCCTCCCTCATCTTCCTCACTGTCCTCTCCTTCCTTCCTCCTCCTCCTCCTCCTCCTCCTCCTCCGTCTTCGCTTCGACCGTTCCAGCAGTTCGGGCTCCTCGTTCACGAGCCCGACGTCCTCAGGGAAAAAGACAATTACATGATCTTTCGGACCGCGCTCCTGTGGAAAACATTCCCTTGCTTCACTCATGTTTGGCATCCCGCCGCTTAGTGTGCCCCTGGCCCAAGGCGTTTGGGCTCTTCTGGCCTCGTAGGGGTTGCCCTGGAGGCCGTGGACCTCCTTGGAAATCATGGGGACACCTAGGGAGAGAGCTTTTTCAAAGAGGTCCAAGGACACACAAATCAATAGACACAAATCCCAGGATACCCTTTACTTTTCAATATTTTCTGGAGTTCCCTTTCCCCCCCACTTCCAATATTTTCCCGGTATTTTCCGTGGAATCGACGATCATTTGTGTCTGTATGTTTTTTCCCTCCAGAAGAAACTCCTGCACCAGCGCCTCCCACGCCTCCAGCAAGCGGAGCGCGGCCGGGGTCTTCCGCAGCGCGAACAGGCCGGTGATGAACTGGCCGTCCTCTAAGGAAGAGCTCTGCTCCAGGGCCGCGGCAAAGCGCCGCAGCACGGCCCGCTTGGTGTAGTGCCGCTCCAGGTACTCCTGGTAAGGGGCGGGACGACATGCCCTATGGAGGGGAAAGAACGGCGCTGGACATTCAGTTAGGCCTGGCTTTAAAACAAGAGTGACGTGGAACTTGGGAAAGAGGGTCGCTCATGAGGAGGCCCACAAGGGCCGACTCAAGAGGCCCGAAAACTAACCCTGAGATCGAGGAACTACTCTGGGTACCTCTGGAAGGAGCCCACAAGGTAAGACGGCATGAGAGTCTTCTTGGCACGGCTCGAAGCTTTCTTAGACTTGCACGTAATGCAATAATACGCATCGGCATATACAACATCTTTCGCAGGTCCGCGCGGGCCTCCGAACGTTTAACCAAATGCCTTTTCTGATCCACCGTTTATTTGGAGGCCTCGTAGACAGTGGGAGGCCTTCTCAGAAGCCGCCTGCCTCTTTAGCAGGCCATCCACTTGCCCCAGGAACAATCAGCTTCGAATCGCTCAACCGGATCGGAGCGTGCATCCGATCAAGCTGCGTAGGCACGGAATGGAAATCGGACCCGACCGGCCACACCAAGACTTACAACCAAGCCGTGCAGACGCCGGGCCGCATCGGACCACCACAATACCGAGATCGAATTGGACCGAGCTGGGCGAGTCTGGTTTCAAAAAAGGACCGACCGAACATAAATTGACCATGGGAACTGTTCAATCGATCCCTATCCCCACTGGCGTAGCCTTAGCCCCACTGGCCGACTTGCCCGCCCAGGTGGGGATATACTTGGGGCTGAACGCCCTGGCCCAGGAGAGCGCTTTTGCATTCCCAGGCGATAGCGGGTGTTACAGGGCGGGGGGGGGAGGGGGGAGGGGGGCCGGTAACGTCACGTTTCGCGCCGGCGCTGCTGGGGAGTGCAGGCATCACCAAAAACCACTCGGACGTCAGCATAAATCGTGACGTTACTTGGGGGCTGGGGGGGGGCATGGCTGGTGCCCGTGGGACGGGGATATGCTTAGGTCGGGCATGTTCTCCTTCAGGCGGATTTGGGACGACAAATTTAGAATAGTCAAAACATGCTTGACTATCTTTGAATACTCCTCATGTAGAGGGGCGTGCCCGAGTTAAGAGAAGGCTAGACGATACTGAGGCCCAGCCCCGCCCGCACCCTGCGTGCGCGCCGCCGATCTCCGGCGCCACCACCGCCAGCACGTCGAAGCGCTGCAGCGCCACAAGCGCCTCCTTCGGCCAAACGCAGGAGCGACCCTGGGCAAGAGTGACCTTTGGTGCTCGGCTTTGTGGGGGCCGCGCAGGGACCAAACACGAGCGCGCAAGACGCTACGGTCGCACCGCGCTCAGCGATAGGGGGACCCCCGTGGGCCCGCACCAAGGGTCACTCCGGCGAATGGTCACTCTGACGTCTAGTCGACTCCTGCCACGCCCTGGCTGACACTGGCTCCAGCTCGCTGCCGGCGTCGGAGAAGACCACGACGCCTGGGGCGTTGCTTCATGGGGGGGCCATGGGTGTGGGGGGGCGAAGAGACGCACACCTCTTGTGCCCCTTTTGGGTCCCAGAGGGGCTACTTCGGGCTCCTGAGGCGCACGAGAAGTGCACCTTTTCTTATCCCACCTCAGTGGCTCAAAGATGGGGTCCTGAGGGATGGGGTCCTGAGGACGAGGTGCCTCAAACAAGGTAAATCCACCCTTCGATCCCTTCCTTAGAAGAAGAAGAATAATAATAATAAGAAGCAGACACCATAAACATAAACTTGTGGCGCTCCGCGCAGATTTCTTGGATCCGCGCTGGACCCCCCTCCGTGGCGCGCGGAGCGCGCCAGGGGCGGCGCCGGAGGCGCCGCCAAGGGGCTCCAGCTCCGACCCGAGAAATTCGCGCGGACCTCCGAGTTTTTATGTCTGTGCCATTGTTTGTTCCCCTATGGGATCCCTTTCTATCCTTAGGACTCCATCCCTCGGGACCCCATCTTTGAACCACCGACCCCCGATTACCGCCCCCCCGTTGCGCAACGCCCGAACGCCGGAGCGGTGCGGCAGCGCCGGCGCCTCCAGGTGCCGCCGGCAGAGGACCGGCTTCCACCAGCCGAACCCGGCAATCCGGGAGCGCCCCTTTGCGGACCTCCGACGTCGTGGTGGGCTCCCCAGAGATCCAACGTATTGAAAAATCATGACGGCGGTCTTTCGCAATTTTCGGCCTCTAGGGGCCCTCACCGGGCCTCGGGACCGTTAAAAAACGACTCAGGACGAAAAACCGGTCCTGAGGGATGGGTCGAGACTTTCGGGGACCACGTATTGAACAAGTCACGACATCGGATCTCTGGGTCCATGCACGGGGCCCTCTCGCGATCTCGGCCTTTAAAGGCCCGTGTCGGGCCGCAGGACTGTCAAAAACGATCTGGACAGGAAAACGGGCCCCGGGTGTCGGAGTGTGAACGAGTTGAGCGCGTGTGGCTGAGGATGAGTGGGTCTGAGTATGAGCGGATCTAAGCATGAGTGGCTCAAACTGGAGTGAGTGTATACAACGACATACAGGGGCCTCCTGCGGCCTCGTGGGGTCTCCTTCGGCTTTCCTGGGTATCCTGAACTTTGGCCTCGTGGGGTCTCCTTCGGCTTCCTGGGGCCTCCTGAACCTCCTTGGAATGTCGTGCTTCCGGGGGCCTCATGGGGCTTCCTTCGGTTTCATGGGCTCCGTTGGGGCTTCACGGAGCCTCCTGGCTCCCAGGCAGGGGGCCTTCTGCGGCTTCCTGGGGCCTCTTAGACTTTGAGGCTTCCTGGGGCGTGGAGAAGATGCAGAATGAAGAGAACTAAAGCAAGGACTTTGAAGAGGAAAAAGACGTGTAGGCGAGGGAATTGGAGTGATGACTTGATGACGACGACGAGGAGGACGATGACGAGGAGGAAAAGAAGGATGAGGAAGAGAAAGAGGAGGAAGAGGAGGAAGATCCGTCTACCCTGCACAACCCTCCAGAAGAGTTGTTCTACCTGGCAAGTCCCAGACATCTGGGCGCCAACGTGCCCGTGACATCACCCTGGTCGCCCCTCACTTTGCTTTGCAAGCCAGGGCCCGATGCCTGCTACGTCGCGGTGGTCACGGGGCTCCGAACAAAAGAGAGAAACAAAAAGAGCCCCCACCAATCGTAAACGCGTATCAAGATGACTCGAAACAGCCGATCCCGCCTGGACGCTTTTTGGCAGTAAAAGGTACCCGATCGAGCTGATATCAAGACAGCGAGCGGGAATAAGATCGAATATCACGGGAAAAAATACTAGAGCTCTAACGAATGGTTGGCGAGGGCTCCGCCAATCGTAAGCGAGGGCTCCACCAATCGTAAGAGAGAAACAAAAAGAAACCATCGTAAGCGAGGGCTCCACCAATCGTAAGAGAGAAACAAAAAGGAAACAATCGTGAGCGAGGGCTCCACCAATCTGGGGGGCACACGGGCCCGTGGTACCACCCCGGCCGGCTCCCCCGGGGGAGGCTCGAGTGCGTTGACTTCTACGTCGCGGTGATCATGGGGCTCTGAAATCAGACACTGCGAGCCCTAAAACGACGCGAAGATCGAGACAAAATCGGATCGGGATAACTCGAAATCTCTGAGAATCGGCGGGTTTGGAGGATGTATTGGGCGCCGCGGCCGCTCCAGAGCGTTCCAGAACGCTCTGAGAGCGCTCCGGAACGCTCTGGAGCGATTTATCCCGATCCTAGCCCTGTTTTAAGCCCTCCCGCCCCCCCCCCCCGGCGGCCGTTTTACAATAAGAGGTTCACCAACCCGTGCGCGAGCATGCCCGTGATGCCTCCCTGGTTGGCTCCCACATGGGAGGCCCTGGTGCGTTGCATTCTGCGTCGCGGTGATCATGCCGTTCTGAGAACAGCCATGGCGAGCCCGGCGCGAACGCACCCGCTCACCGTAGTGATCGGCTCCCCCATATCTTGTGAAGATTCTGGTACCTGCTGCGTCGCGGTGATCGCGCGCCTCTGAAAACAAACGCCCCCTTATCTTCATGTGAAGACAGGCTTCGATGCATTCAGCATCGCGGTGATCATGGGGCTCCAAAAAACAAACGCGTCTAGCCCCCCTCCAGCAAAATCATACGGCTGCTCAATCGGGGAGGTGCCACCCCTCTGTCCGCGACTGGGCGGTGCTGGTCGTCGCCGCCCTGGGAGGCCAGAGTGTGATGCCTGTCTGCCACATCACGGTGATGAGGCGGATCTGCAAAGAGACACGTATGCACCCCCCAAACAATTCGGCCTGATAACTGCCATCAATCCGGTGTGATTCCTGCTGCATCATGATTTTCATGATGCTAAGAAAAGAAAAACCTTTGGCGCGTGCAGGCCCGTGGTGCAATCGTGACCGGCCCTCCCTGGTGAGGCCCGAGTGCATTGTCTGCTGCATCGAGATGATCACGGGGCTCTGTAAAGGGCCCCTTTCTGCATCCCCCCAGAGACGCTGTTCTATCTGAAGGTCCCACACATCTGGACGCGGAGGTGCTGTGTGATACCAGGTCGGCTCCCACTTGGGAGGCCCGAGTGCGATGTCTCCTTGGGAGGCCCGAGTGCATTCCCTGCTCCATCGCGGCAGACATGGAACTCTCAAAAGAAACATTGATACCCTCTCCAACGGCAATCCAACCTGGGGGCGAACGTGCCAGTCACACCGTCATGCCACTCTGGTCGACCCTTCCTTGGGATGCCAGAGTGCGATACGTGCTGCATCGCGTGTGGAAACAAGTCTGAGCGCGAGTGAGGCTGAGTGCTAGTGAATCTGAATGTCAGGTCTGAGTACGACGGCACACCATACTCATAATATGTAGAACACAACAGCCGCATTTGGAGAGCAACAGCGCCACTGACGTGATGTGGAGGATAACAACTGAGTCTGAGTATGAATGGGTCAGGGTTGAATACGTGCGAGTCTGCGTGTGAGTGCCTCTGAGTATGAGCGAGTCTGGCTTAGAGTGAAACTGGGTACGATTGGCGTGAATGAGCCTGCGTATGAGTGAGCCTGAGTGTGAGGGAGTTTGAGTAAGGGGGATCTGAGTGTAAGCGAGTCCGAGCGTGAGTGAAGGAAGAGGTTGGAGGCCAAGTGCAGGAGGCGGAAACATCCCACTGACAATAATAACCAAGAAACAAAAACCCGGCATCGGAAGTCTGGGCCTCGCGCCACGCGTCCATGTGCCGGCTCCAGACCTCGAGTAGGGGATCGACTGCAGAGTTGATTGAATTTAAACTTGCTTTACATATTCAATGTACCCCAAACGCTTAAAGCGCTTGTGGATCTACGAGCAGCCTACTTCGTATATTCGAAGACAGTTTCAGTTCAATGAATTCTGTAGTCGATCTCCTACTCGAAGACCTCCGCCTCGCGGCCTGCGACCCAGGAGAAGTTGGTGTAGGCGTGCACCTCGCCGAACACGCCCAGGGACAGCGCCTCCGACCGCAGCCGCGCGGGAGCCGCAGCGAAGCGGCCCACGCCCAGAGTCACCAAGTGAGCGGCCGGCGCCAGCGTGCCCCTAGCTGGTTCCGGGCACGGGGAGTCTTTCGCAGTGGGGTCGTGAAACATGCAGCAGGTCATCCTGTGTCTCGTGGCGCGGAGCCGCTCTCACGGACCAGCGATGCCAAATGCAACGCAGTCTGCCCGCGGCCAGCACGATCCAGCAGGAACGATGGCGCGGACTGCTGCGTGCATTTTTGAGACCCCTTCTGCAAAGGACCCACTCGCCCGAGTCTGACCTCGGCCGCGGCACGGGCCAGACCACCGGGTCCCTCGACAGCTCCAGCGGGCGTTCGTCCGCGGGCAGCGCGTCGAAGCCAGTCGGGGGCCGGAAGGACACACCCCTGTGCGCGCACGTCGACGCTGGAGGAAGAGCGAGCTGCGTGAGCATCAACTTTCGGAGGTCCGCGCGGATTTCTCGGATCGGCGCCTGGGCCCCCCTCCCCGGCGGGCGGAGCGCGCCAATGGCGGCGCTGCAGGCGCCGCCCAGCGGGGCCCAGCGCACACCCGAGAAATGCGAGCGGACCTGTCAAAATTCATGCTTGCGCGGATGTTTCTTCTTCGAGATGCGTGGCCCGCGTTGAGGCATAGGGCGCCGCCCCCGGCGCCGCGCGCAGGGACGACGTCGCAGCAGCGGGCGGCGCTGAGTCCCCGCTGCCCGCTGGCCTCCGCGTTGTACCAGCAGGCCTCGCTGCCACGCGGGCCATGCCGATGCAGGGACCCGAGGCAGCAGAACTCGTGCATGTGCTGGAGGAACCTGATCATCGTTTCACCGATCCCTATCCCCACTGGCGTGGCCTCGGCCCCGCTGGCCGGCTTACCCGCCTGGATGGGGATACGTGCCTGGTGCCTCGGGTTATTCGCGGGGCCTATTCCCACCTAGGAGGGTGGGCTGGTGGGGCTGAGATACCCCGGCCCAGTGAGGATGGGGACAGGCCAGACGCTGCCGAGAACCCCTTCCAGCACCGCGGGTCGCCGCGCTGCGGCAGCGGGGCCGGCGGGCGGCAGCAGTACGAGAAGTCCATGATGCCGTCCCAGCATCTGGTCTCACCCTGGGGCCCCTTGCCGGTGTCGCAACAGGTGTCGTACGAGTAGCCCTCCCGCACGCCGTCGCCAAAGCAGTGCGGGTTGCCCTTGGGCAGCAGCTTGGCGCTGCCTGCCAGCCCCAGGACGGCAGCAATGGCCTCTGGCCAGGCTCGCATCCCGACGCGCGGCAGGCGGGTTTCCCTTCTCCTGCGGTGGCGATGATCCGACGCACGTGAGAAATCACCGCCGTACTCTCCGCCTCGTCGTCCTCCTCCTCCTCCTCCTCCTCCTCCTCCTCCTCCTCACCCTCTTCCTCCTCCTCATCCCCCCCTCCTCCTCCTTCTCCTCCTCCTCTTCCTTCTTCTCTTTGCTCTTCCTCCTCCTTCTTCTTCTCTCTGCTCTTTCTCCTCCTTCCAAGACTTCCTGACTCCAGCATGGATGGGGGCGACCCAGGCTGGGGGGTTGGTGGAAGCAGACGTAGGAGTCACAGCGCCCACCCGAGCCGAGCGACACTGGCCCGCCTTCGCCCCGCCAGCCAGCGGGTGGGAGGCCTCGAATGGCTTGGCACGTTGACGCAATGGGGACGTAGGTGGCGTGCCGCGCCGAAACGTTGTGGGCCAGAACCGATGGAGCGACACACTAAGCCGAACATGAGCCCCAATTGCGCCGACCCCCGCTTCCCAGGGGTGCAAAGATGTGTGAGATTACTGACTCTTCCCCTCCCCGCCCCCTCCCCTAGAGCTCCAAGTTGCGTTAGGAGCAGGAGGAGGGGAGGAGGATGTGGAGGAAGAGGAGAAAAGGAGGAGGAAGAGGAAGAGGGAGGCCTCCCCCGAGTGTTCCCTTTTATCCGATGTGGCCCAATGCTTGCGCGGCGTTGCAGTGCCAACGCTTGCGCGGCGTCGCAGTGCCGTTTGGCGAGCCGTGTAGTCTGAACAGGAGGAGGAGAAGGAGCAGGAGAAGGAGGAGTGAGAGGAGGAGGTCCGGAAAGGGGGAGGAGGGGGAGGAGGAGGAGGAGGCCCGGGGATGATGATGATGATGATGAGGAGGAGGAGGAGGAGGATGAGGAGGAGGAGGAGGAGGAGGAGGAGGAGGGGGAGGAGGGGGAGGAGTGAGAGGAGGAGGAGGAGGAGGGAGGAGGAGGAGGAGGGGGAGGAGGTGGGAGGCCCGGGGATGGGTGGGCGACTTGGGGGCCGGAGCTCCGAAACGCATCCCCGACGCCTCAGCACCCACCTCTCCAGAGCCCCAAGGCGGGCCCAAAGACAGCGCCAAGACAGTCCACATCAGCGCCGCGATGGATCCATGCAGGAGGAGGAGAGGGGGGGGAGGAGGACGAGGAGGAGGAGGAGGAGGAGGAGGAGGAGGAGGAGAAGGAGGAGCAGGAGGAAGAGGGGAAGGAGGAGGAGGAGGAGGAGGAGGAGGAGGAGGAGGAGGAGGATTGGAGGATTGGAGGAGGAGGGCAGGACGTGCGCCCATGCCTCCCAAAACAATGAGAAGCTCGACGGTCACACAGTCATGAAGGGGCCCCAGGACACACAAATAAATACACACAAATAAAACACTTCCCCATAGTTTCGCATAGTTTCTGGGTTTCTGTCTTCCCCACCACTTCCCATGTTTTCCCATATTTTCCTGGGGATCGTCGATTCATTGTGTCTGTGTGTTTCTTTCCCTCCTGAATGGACCGGGGTAGCTGGACGTGCGCCCATGCCTCCCAAAACAATGAGAAGCTCGACGGTCACACAGTCACCGCGGGCATCCGCGTGGCCTGAGGCACATATTTCGGCCTGCGGAAGCCTGCGTTCAAAGAAGCTTCTGAGCCACCGCCCAGGCACGGTAGCGGGTTGGGCCGAAGGCCACAAGATACTAGCTTCCACGAACGTCGCAAACTCTCACTCCTTCTGGGGGTCGGCGGAATGGCGTGAGCCGCTTGAACAACACGTCTGGCTACATGGTGAGACTGTGTCGAACGCGCTGGGCGACCAAACCCGGCTGCCGAATGCGACACAGGCGGACAGTGGCAGCAGAGGAAGCGGCGACGTTCGGATCTCGATGACACCAGCCACGGTGCTAGTGTCATCGCTTGCGAAAAAGGCGAGCAGCGGCAGCGCCAGCTGCGGCGGCAATGGGGCAGAGATCGCTCTGCTGGGGGAACCCAGCGCCACCGGCTTCACCGCACAGGCCAGTGCGCGCGCGGATGGCGGGCACCGGCAGCAAGCCGAGCCGCGGCGCGCGGGAGAAGGCGGCCAGTGGCAGCGGATGTCACTGCAAGCAGGGCGCTCGCGAAGGACGTGCATCAACTACTCTGCCGGCCGCGGCTGGAGCTCAAGCAAGCAGTGCAGATGTGAGATATGCTCCTCAGCTGCAGCGCAGAGGCTGGCTCTTGTGAGGGGACGGCCGGTCGTGCACTGGCGCGGCTGCGTGCGAGAGAGCTGGCGCGCATCGGCTGCAGTGCAGGCGAGCCTCCTGTGAGAAAATCTGCGGAGGGGGGAGGACCAGGCCGTTGAGTTCCAGCTCGAAGCCGAGCAACCGTTACGACAAGTTCGGCATATTTTATGTTCAATCCGTTCCATTGCAACTTCGGCTCTATCATCTTGCAGCGCGGAGAGCGCTTAGCACCGAGGCCACATCCCACCATAGCAGAGTGGTGGGCCGCGCATAACAGCAAAAATCGTCCACGTCTGAGTCAGTTACTGCACCTCATTCCTTGCTACGATGCAGGGAGCAGGTCTTGCAGGAAGGCTGGCAAAGACCGCAGGTGGGACTGCAGTAAATACGCTCGGGGGAAGCCGCGCCCGTTTCAAACGCAGGAGGTGGCTCGGGCCGGGACAGGCAGTCATGGGAGACCATCAACTACAAAGCAGAGCTGAACTCATGTGAGATGTTGCGAGACCCCACGCCGTCAACTTCACCGACATTGGTGCATGCAAGAAGTGTTTGCAAACACCACTCTGCATGCGACAAGGGCAACCAGTAGCAACGCACGTGCAGGCGGAAATAGCATCGAACGTCATCGGCTACACTCGGGGCTAGGTGCGTGAGGTGGGGGAGCGAACGTCTTTCCTTGGGGCATCGTGTCAAGGGGCACCGTCGTCACCGCGGTGGTGCAGCGACCCTCCACGGCCGCGGCCGAGGGGCAGGGACGCATGCGCGTGGTGCAGCGAAGGCGGCGTGCAGGTCGGGACGCCTTCTCCTGGAGCGTGTGTCAGAGGGGGGGGGCATCGTCCCGTAGGTGGTGCCCCAAGGGTACCTCGTCGCGAGTCCGTCGGTCGCCTGCGAGGTGTCAGGGCGGGGCTCCATTGCGCTCAAGGAGCTTGGAGGCTTTCTTGAGTTCATTCACAATTCAGCCTCCTCATCCTCCTAATTTCTCTATTTTCCCTCCCTCCCTGTCCTCCCTCCCTCCATTTCCTCCTCCCACTTCTCCTTCTGTTCACCCCTCCCTTCTCTCCCTCCTTCCCGCCCTCCTCCCTCGCTCCTCCTCCTCCTCCTCCTCCTCCTCCTCCTCCTCCTCCTCCTCCTCCTCCTCCTCCTCCTCCTCCCCCCTCCAACGTCTGCATCCGCCTGCTCCTAGTCTTCCTCCATGCTTCTGCTGCTGCTCGTCCTCCACGCCTCCTCATGCCAGGCAGAGCATCCCAAAGAGTGGGTGCTTTCACTCTTGGTGTGCGCCCGACGTGGTGCAATGCAATACCAGCGGCGAAGTCGGCACCGCACGAGCCTACCGTAGGGAGATATTTTCTTCGTAACACCCCGCAGATGCAGATAAAAATGAGGGGGCGGTGGGGACGTCGGCAATCTGCGAGACTCTGGAAAAGCCCGCCGCAAGCGCCAAAGCTTCACACATTATGCGACGAACCCGCCGCAGGCGCCGATATTTTCTCCAAACCAGTGTAGATCGGTCGCGGATGGATCGCGGGTGGGTCGCGGGTGTGTCGCGGGTTGGGTCGCGGGTTGGGTCGCGGGTGGGTCGCGGGTGGGTCGCTGGTTGGGTCGCGGGTTGGGTCGCGGGTTGGGTCGCGGGGTGGGTCGCGGGTGTGTCGCGGGTGTGTCGCGGGTGTGTCGCGGGTTGGGTCGCGGGTTGGGTCGCGGGTGGGTCGCGGGTGGGTCGCTGGTTGGGTCGGGGGTTGGGTCGCGGGTTGGGTCGCGGGTTGGGTCGCGGTGTGGGGCAACAAGCAGAATCCTCACCACGGATTCTCACTTCAGCCACGCACCAGCGACGATGAATGACCCTTCGCCTCTCACTCTGATACAGATGTATCCATATTTACGTACTTGTATATATATATATATGTATCTCGAGTTTATACAACGATCTCTCTCTCTCTCTCCCTCTTATTTCTCACACCAAATATACGTACGCGTATATATAGGTATATAACTGTACACGTAACTATGGTGCACTGTATGTGGTGCGATCCGTGTGTCGCAATCCATGTGGTGCAAGCAGTGTGCTGCAAGCTGTGTGGTGCAATCTGTGCGGTGCGACTTGATGGGTGTTATCTATTTTGTGCAAGCGGTGATGTTCAATATACGTGTGGTGCAATTTATGGGGTGCAACTCTTTTTTGGAAGCTACAGGTCTAGTAGTAAATGGGGATGCTAGGCCACGAGTACTTGATCCACTGGGAAGAACGTGTAGTCCAATCAATTGTGCTCGGAGGTTGCCGGTTGTGATATCAGGACTGCGGACTAGCAAGACCAAATGAAGGGCGAAGTGTTCAGGGGGTGCGCTGCGCGGGCACCGCGTGCGAGATGCTTTTGACGCTTCGCGTGCGACGCCAGCGCGACGACGACGAGTGCAGACTAAATGACGCCGAGGGGGGGGGAGGGGGTGCTGCGTGGGCGCTGCGTGCACTTAAGTTGTGCGCATCGCTGGCGCGACGTCGAAGAGCAGAGCAACTGTCGCGAGGGGGCACGTGCTCCGTGCACAAGCGCGTGCTCAAGAAGCGCCGAGTACGGGCACCTGCTTCAGAAGCGCCACGTGCTTTAGAACCTCCACGTGCTCCAGAAGCGCCAAATACGCAACGCATGCGCGTCGGTAAGAGGAGAGAAAGAGGAGGAGGAATGGACCTGGAAATCATGGCTGGCTGCATTCGTTTCTTACGGAAGGCTTCAATGCAACGTGCATCGTTTTGGTCCCCTCGTTCAAGAGAACCTATGCCACGCCTGGCAGAGGAGAGAGAATAGCCGAGGGGGATATGGTAAATAGCGGCGC